CTCTTAAAGATCTAAAAAAAAAAGAAAAAAAAAAGAGTTTAAATTCGAATATTATTTAAAACCTATTTTCCACGTCTGAGAATTCAAAGAAATTGGAGAAAAAGAAAACTATATTCCGTATAACTTCGTTCCAACACTCTTAAAAAGGCTAGGGTACAGGTTTGATCGGCGCCAAGGAAATCGTTGCATTGTCGAAACTCAGCGAGTGGAAACATTTAAACGGATCGCATCTCGACAATAGATATAGATATAGCAGGGAGGGAGGGAGGGAGGGGGACGCAACATGGCTTACCATGGGATTATAACAAGGGGGAAAGGGAAGGTCTTGATCCCGGGGAACCGACTAGCATTAATACAATTAGCACAGCTTTCCTGAGTACCGTAACGCGGTTCACGAACGGTCTGACCCTTTGGACTTGGCCCAAATATTCGGGACTATAGGGCCAAACCACCAGAATTCTATTACCGAATCTCTGGTTTCGATACGCTGCCGATGTTTTATGGCGTTTGAAGGAAACATCGTGGATCGAAGGAAGAACAAAGATTGAGATATAGATTGGAAGATTTAACCGTACGATCGAAAGAAGGAATTAATGCATACGATTATTAATTGTAAAGTATTAATTTGTATTAATTATAATAAAGTAATTTGAGAAATCATCATTCAAATTAAATATAAATATTTGAAAAATTTTTTTTTTTTGGAAATACGATTCTTAATAAATGTTCTGGATTGGCAAAGTGATCAAGATAAGTGGTATAAGTCAATCATTGGACAAGTGATACATTGTAATATATATGAATAGTCTAATAGAACAGATAAAGTCATAGAAATCGTATAAATAAGTAAATCATTCAGATCAACAAGTAGAATAGTTTAAACATAATGAGACAAGTTGAGAACAGTTCCATCAAGTGGAACGACTCGGTCATAATTAGACAAGTAGTATAGATCGACCTTAAGATCTTGATTTTTGAAATTTTATTTATTTTTGATCGATTAAATGACTGAGAAGATATTACTTTCGACATTTTATGTAATTTTTTTCGTATAATTATCCTTTGAGATATTTGCCCGCCTGAGATTAAAATAGGACATCCTGTGTATATTTCATTACGTGGAAATTTAATATTTATATTACACGTGTTTATATATCGTGTTTCGTAAAACAATATTATTTGTGTTTTGGATATTCGAGTTGTACGATCCACGTACGCAATAATATTAAAGCATTATAATGTTTAATAACAAAGTAATATTAGAGTATAGTTTCTACGATTGGTAAATATAAAACAGGAACAATTTAACTTCTGAAAGTGGACTGGTTGTAATTCCCATGACTATTCTGTTTTAATATCCTGCTCTTCTAAAATTGTATTATTACAGAATTTATCCTTGTTAGTTACGACTATTTGTGCATTTCCAATTTTTAATATTAATCATAAACGATTTTATTACTGTCAATCTAAATCCGAAAAGGCTGACTGAAACAAATATTTTTAAAAACTTTATACTCGATTCTCGAATTCTGCACAAAAAGTATTTCGAAGCTGCTGAAATCAACTGAACCTTCTCAACAATTTCACAATCAAATTCAATTCGTAACGATATTATAAAATTAAATTCTTCTTCTCGACGTCGCTTCGACGTTCAGATACCCTCGTCGACACTTTTCCATAATTACACCGTGAATCAAGAAATTTCACCCTCAACGCAATCCGTCCAATTTCCCCCTTCCAACAAATTATCGATGCGACACAATCAAAATTTCTATCGAATCACGAAAAAATCGTTTAATCGTAGAATAGGAAATGGGATAGTTGCTGCTCGTTTGTGCGCGTCACAAACCCTCATAAGGGTGTCCCATCGACGACAAGACACCGATATCTTCGGCGGCCAGGTGGCCATTCGTTTACGGTTTACAACGAGGCGGTTCAAGCTTCAAAGGCAATGCGAGGGCGGCTCGATTGGCCGGTTTAAAGGGCATCAAACGATCCAGCGGATGGCCAGCCTCGTTTCCTCGAATCCTCGTACCCTATCTTGTCGACAAAGTGGACAATGAGTCTGTGTGGAATCGGGGGAGACAGGTGTCGCGATACTCGAAATCGATTTCACGCGCTGAGACGAAAGCGTCGACTTTTATACGTGTTGGTGAAAGATGACTGACAAAGAAGTAATCGTAAATTTATTAAATAAGAAAAAAGGGGGGGGGAATATTTTAAACTTTTGATCATTCGATCGAAATTACAAGAAACGTAAGATGACGCGATTTTTTTTCTCTCTGTCCCTAAAAACTTGTTGAAATAATTTACTTTATTATCTGAAATTTTATTTGTTTTTGACAGTGATTATAGATGAAGATGATAAATATGTAGGAGTTGAACTTGACATTTTTCTTACGATTATTCAAAGTCAGTAAATTTTTTGTTAAGAATTTTTTTGTTTCACTTTTGCTCCATTTAAAAAAAATTGCATTAATTTATATTTCGAATTCGACAGATCACTCATCGAATTCCTCGTGCTGGAACAATGATATTTATTTTTGTCCATCCGTGCTAACGATTTCAAAACGATGATAACGGGGTAGATTTATCGCGAGAGATGCGGAATTTGTTAATTAACAAGTGTGAGTGAATACGTTTGGTTAATGAAATGGAAGTTTGCGTTGTTCGATATTAATCATGTTTCGATGATTTCTTTTAATGGATAGATTTATAGCGAGATATTTATACGGATGTGTGTGAGAAGAATTTGATTGATCGAATTTCGTTGCTTAAAATTGTTAATTTTTTTGAATTATATGATTTCGTATTGTTACGATTTATATTATGCGTGATATATTGTTAAAAAATAATACGAATATAAAAGTATTGTGTGACATTATTTCTGAATAACGTCTTGCTATTGTCTAGAATAAAATTGAACAAGAATATATTTATATTATATTTTTTTTTTTTGATTACTAATCGATATCTATTAATCAAGTATCTAACAAATAAGGAATAATTAAAATTTTAGAAATAATTCGTGATAGAAGAATAAAAATTATGTTCTTTCTCAAGTGAAATCATATTTACTTACGTTATATATTTTTATATTATTTTTCGAATGGGACTATACTATAAATATTTCAGAAAAAAAAATTACCAAATAAAAAAATCGATCGAATATGACATTCATCTGCAATATAATTAAATTAAATATAAATTCCCCCGAAAAAGAAAAAAGAAAATTAATAAATATCTTCCTCATTCTTCTCGACAAATCGAAAATCGACAAAGTTCGATCAAATTAAAATCGCTTGAAGTCCTTTTTTCTTTTATACAATATCAATCTGTTTCACGATGTGTATCCACGATGAATGTAGCCAGAAACATAGAGGATACAGTATCCACGACAATGCGCTTCTTGTCGCGGCGATAAGAAAGGAGCGTTGTACGTGCACGACTTCGAAAGACGAGAAATAGCGGTGTCCCGATGAAGGGGCGAGATTAGTATCTTTGCCACGATATCGAAAACGTTACTTACACCGCGCGATACCAATGATTCCTATCCCATGCCAGATTCAATGGCGCGTGCGATATCGCGTCTCTTGCACGTACGAGCCTCGACACTGTCGATCATTTCGATGTTTCTGATTTCACACCAGATATCGCGAACAAAGTGACATTCTTACGTGTATATATATATATATATATAAGTTACTATCCTTCATTTCTGGATACTTTATAAAAATTGACGAAAACACTCGAGTCAAAGAGCTATTTCTGGGTATTGAAAGTATGTACGAGCCTCTCGTGTGATTTAGAGATATTTTTTTTGACTTCTGTTGATCTTAGAAAGGATGGTTTTTTGGAATATACAATCAATTTTAAGGGACAATTCAACTCCACGAATTTTGTTGAATAATCATTCGTTAAATTCAATCGTAGAAGTTGTGAGATTATCCATCAATTTTGAAGCTTAAAAATTAGTAAAATCGGAGAACTTGGGAATTTTAGGCAAATTTGTACAGATTCAGTAAATTTTGGTTGATGAAATATGAATATCATTGATATTTAGCAATCAATTTGTTTAAAAATATGGTTTATTATTATTGAATCGCATTTTACATTTTTTTTCGTATTCATTCATTACTTGTGAGCTTCTAAATCCTAATTTAGAAATTCTAATTTCGAGTTTGAAAATCTTTCTCCTCTGAATGCCGGGGATCGTGTTACGAAGATCTATAGATAAGACTTCTTTTCCCGACTGGGAGGGCAGTTTCGAAAGAAGTTAGATAATAATTCTCGTTTGAAAAGGTGAGAAAAGTTGCGCGAGGATTTTCAGGATCGTAAGTCTAGTTCTGACTATCGTACATTATGATGTTATTTTCCCGTTCTGCAGCTATCAGCAATCGAATTATGAAGTTCGGAAAAAGAATTGTTTTTCCTTTTGAAAAATATATATCGTGACGATTCTTTTAATTGAAAAGAATTAAGTATGTTTTAAGTGAAGCGTAATTCAATAAATGATAAAGTTTCTTTAAAGAAGAATAAAATAATGGATAAATTTGATAGTGAAAAGATTAAAAATAGATAATTTGGAAAATTATTTTTTGTCATCGAAATATTTTATATAAATATAAAGAAATGAAAATTACACGTCCATTTGCATTTATATAAGAGATGATAATATTTTGAAACAATTATATTTCTATTATAAATAGAATTATTACGAATAAAGAATTAATTCTGAATTTTTCATAGATATAAAATTTCTATAACCATCTCTTTCTCAAAGATTCAGAAAGAGTGCAAATCATTAATTCTAATTTTTCAAGTGTATTTTAAATACAAGAATTTTATTGTATTTTAAATACAAGAAGAAAAAAAAATGTTTTAAAGTAATTTATTAAATTATCGGATTATCGAAGAATAATCAAAATTGGCTTTTAATAAATTTTTAGAGAAAGAGAATCGTTGCATCGATTTGACCAATAGACAAAGTTCGTACTTACTAAGGCGAGATAGCTTGTAAGCATCCGCGGTATTAATTACGTCTACGAAAGCCTGGAATTCAAACTTCCGAGTTGTGGTATTCTGGTTGTGGTTGAACATCGCAAATTTGAAGGCTGACTGAACTTCGTCGGTACCCTGCTCGAAAATTGCACCTGTAATTAGAAAATACGTACATTGATCACTCTGGCTTTATCGATTACTAACATAATTTCTGTAAACATTTAAGTATTTACATTAAAAAATAATAATATTATTTATAATGCATAATCATTTTAAGAAAAAGGAACAATTTATAGAATAATTCTTATTATATTCAAAATTTTGAGTCCAATCTCTAATTTTGATCTTTTTAATAAAGCTTCATAAATCTCCAAATCTCAACGTGATTTTTATAAAATAAAACTTATTTATCGAATGCAATAATCCTACTGTGTATATATCGATCATGTATACCAGAAAATCATGGTACACTGTTATTTAATTAAATTTTCTGCGCACAAATTTTGTTCTGAAACCCACGTTGCCTAAAAATATTTTCTCGCATTATCGATGATACAAACGATCGAGCTTGTCGAACGATTTATACGACTGGCATAGATCTTTCGAAAAAAGTTAAACGAGTTTCATACTTGCTCTGTTCCTTTTCCCCCTTTTTTCTTATCCACTTGGTACTGGGATAAAGAATCGTCGAACGCAGACGAGCAGGAAGAGAAAAATTCCAGTTTCCACGTAGGGAGAGAGTTTTGAAAATTTTCGAAATGGGAAATGGGAAACATCGCCGCGTGTTTTGCCCACGGCGTAGCGAACAGATACAAGGAACGGGGCAAAAGTCGCATCGGAATGATTTTCTTTACGACTTCTAAACTCACCACACGGTGAATTTGACTTTCTTCCTGAGAGAGTAGTTTCTCCTCTCCATCGCGGAATGAGAGAACTTCTTGTTCTCTCGCCATTCCTCACTGTAACCTCACCTACGCAATACCTCGTCCCACAGATTTTTCTTTCTCGCCTCCCCCACTTTACGCAATTTCTCGTTCCGGAAATCCGGTGAATCTTCTTAAGAAGGATCATCGTGGCGCGCGTTCTCCTTCCTTATATCAACAAAATAATTTCTTATTTTTGGAGGACAATGACATATTCAAGAGGAATATGAATACTTGAAAAATTGTTTTTTTAAGTTTCTCAGTGGTCGCGTACAATTTTTCACGAATGTATTTACGAAATGTTCGAAAAATCACGTTGAGACGAGTGACACGAGTCAGCGATATAACACGACGGAATTAGAATAAGCATTGGTTATAAAGCATTTAAGTGAAATAACGGATGAATAGTCAGAATAGTAGAAATAGAATGGAAATCAACGAGTAGAATGGTTGGTTATAAGTTATGGCTTTGCTCTAGTTATAACTGGACAAGTGAAACGTGTCAGCCATGATCAGACAAGTTAATAGTATGGATAAGTTATAGTCAGCAAAGTGGAATAATACAGGGATTGATTGAACAAATAGAATATCTCGATTGACCAACTAGAATATCGGCAAGAAATACAATAATTCAAGATTTGTAAAAATCTCAACAAAATTTGGAATCCTGATCGAATTTCAGATTGGATTAATCTGTACACAAAAGAGAATTCATATATATAATATATATTCATTCTTTACACTTTGTTTACTTTAATTTATTCGACATTCTGCTGTTTTTACGTAAAAGTCAGAATTCGTGAAAATAAAAATGAATATTTGAAATGGCAAGACTATAAATAGGAAAATATTTTAAAATCTATCACTCGTACTTTCTGTGACTCAAAGTTTAAAAATTTTTTTGTTTCAGATAATTATTCTCATTTGACAAGTTAAAGACTGTCCCTATTTATATTCTCTGTGAAATTTAATTGTACCAATTAAAAAACCTTCTTTTACTTTTCCTCTCCAAGAAATTATTCCATTGAATAATGAATTATATAAGATCAGACTGTGCCCCTTTATTATTATTATTATTTCAACAGGTGTCTACAACAACTCTCGTTGCTGTTCCTTTTTCTTTTTTTTTTTTTATCTCTATATTCGAGAAAGAACTTTGAATATTTCGCGACAATGTGAGAGAAAATCGTAAGACCAAGATTGCAAGGAAAGCGTTTCTTCTGTCCTTTGTGAGAAGTTACCAGGCGAACAGAACGAAAGAACTCTTCTCTCTCTCTCTCTCTTTAAACGCGGCCGATATCAACGCGACTCCCCGACTCCTCTCTGTGCGCTCTTATCGAACCACCAATGTTTCTACCTTTTGAAACGCATCTCTCTGGCAAAGTTCGTCGTATCAGAACGAGATTATTATTCAGCCTGAGGCTATCAAATGGAACCGATCAAAGAATAACCATTTCGTGATGCAATTTCTTCTTTATATATATATATTCAGGTTCAAAAAGAAGAAGATTATTATTAGAATTAGAATTTAGTATATATATATATGTATTTTTAAATTCTTGTAACTCTATGATATAAATTAAATTTGGAACATAAGTGTGAAGCTGATATATGTATATATAAATTATTTACACGTAAAGAAGTTGTGCATCACAGTAAAATGTTGATTGCTTCGTTGATTATTTCAATTTTGGTTCGAATATAGGATAAGCATATTTAGATTAAGAATACTTATATTTTGATATATATATATATATATATTTATTTAATTTCTTCGAAAATTTCTCTCAATCAGTTCAAATAATCAACGTTCTATCATACATGTGAATCATCAACAATTAATTTCACTGAATTTCAATAATATATTATTTTTATCTCTTAACATAATTAGCGATTAGTCAAAAGAACAAAAGCAAAACATATGAATATATTTCATTCGAAAGTGTAGATGGGATCAGATTATATTTCGTTTAAATTACTTCTACCGTCGTGATATTAAACTTTTTCTTTTCTCATATACTTGTTGATAAATGCATTGTTTACGATATCACGTACAAGAGTCGATAACCAATTATTTATAACGAAGCGAGGGATCACAAGGTTACAAGTTTCGAGGGTGGATAGCGATAGAGATCGTAGGGAATGAGGTTCGGTGAAATTGATACAAGCAGAAGTGTAAACATTGTTTAATACCTAAGACACCGACGCTTCGTTCGTGAAACAAGCTTCTAATAGTGTAGTTGCGAGAAGTTTGATGAACTACGACCGTAAAGTTGCTCACGGCCGATCAACCATTCATGATCTAATATGTTTCAGATTTTATCTGTGTAGGGGCACGTGCGGGACAAAACTGTGACGATAATTGACGTTTGATAATTTCTTATTTTGAACTATAATCGTCGACAATATTTTTCATTATTCCGTCTTCTTCAAATTTGAATTGAAATCCTAAAATACATGAAATACACGTTCTAATTTCTGTTAACAAACAACGAATGAAATAATAATGACTGAAAAACTTAAAAGATTATCACAAGATGATAATCATCTAATATAAAATTTTTAATCGAGAAACAAAATCGATTATTGATCGAATAATTTAATTTTTCAATCCAAATTCACTCCACCATGTTTAAAAACAATAATTATAGTTTGAATTTCTATAATGAGTTTGAACAACGATCGAACAAATCAAATATTAAAAATTCAATTCTTAAATCAATAAAACTTTGAAAAATACGTACACAAGACTTTTCCTTGGAGAAAAAGTTTTACTTACAAGTATATTCAAAGAATTACAAAAGCGAATAACAGCGAAACAAAGACAATTTAAGTCCAACTCCATTCTTCCCCCTCCCTCCATTTCTCACTCTCCTCAAATTAATCGCCTAAAATAATCCTCGACTGCTCCTCCCTAATTTCCCTACCCCCTGCATAAATAACATCCCCTCTCCCCATCATATTCGTCTTCGTAGGTGGCCTAAATCAAACGGACAAGTCGAAGCAATCGTGGCGAGATTGAATTTATACAAACCGTGGAACCGCGAATCCCTTCGCCTCCATTCGTCAAGTCCGCGATGCTCGGGTCGAAATTTAGCTTGGAAATTAGCTAGGGAGAAGGAGGAAGGAGGGGGAGAGAGGACGAAAGGCGTGTATCGAGGACAACGCCAATGGTTTAAATACCAATCTTGATGGCCCGAGAGTGTTTATCTCGGCGAGCGTTGACAGGTGGGGCGCCGCCGCGCGTCTATCGATTGGTGCCCAGCCTTCCCCCTCTCACCACGCACACCACACACTCACATCGATTCCCCTCCCCTCCCCTTCTTTCAACCTCCTTCGACTCCCCCATTTTCCAGCCGATGTTTCTTCCTCTTCCTCCTCTTTAGAGGAGGGTTAGAGAGGGTTAGAGAGGAAGAACCTTCTTATATTTTTCTTTCGCCTCAATTTTTCGACACCTCGAAGTAAGCTAGGGGTGGAACCGACTTACTTTTATCGCCTCGTAAGAGTATCTCTTTTTCTTTCTTTCCCCTCTCTTGTTCCACCCTTGTATTCGATGATTTTTTTTAGCTAGTTTGTTACCAGGTATTCGAAGGGCGAGTTTTAAAGAGTCAGGAATGATAGTCGATTTCTCGAACTTTTCTTCTTCTGTCTTTGATTTCCTCTCCCCTCTTTGGCTAGCTTAATCGTTTCTTCGCTTTGTAATTTGTTTCGGCTATCCCATTTTATCGTTCGCGTGAAATCTTACAAATTCGTATTCTCTTCGTGACCCTTTCTCTGCCTACACAGAATTCGAAGCGTTGTTCCTTTTTTTTCTTTTTTTATTTTCTATGTAAGATTTGACCATAATTTTTAGCTACTTTGTCGCGAGAGAAAGAACGTTTTAATGATTGTAAAGTTAAATTTCCATGTTCTAATCTGATAGTGGATACAGGAATGTTGTAGCATTAGTCAGTCGAGTAGCAAAGACGTGTAATAGACAGACGTGCAATTAGACGAGTGGTGTAGGCGCATCCTAGACAGACAAGTAGAATAAGCTGTGTTTACAGGCATGGGATTAAGACAGGTGATCAGGCAGCTGGAACGAAACGATTAACAGGCAAGTGGTAAAGGTATACGACAGACGATCGGTCAAACGAAGTAGTATAGACGTAGCATTGTAGTTAAACTGAAATAAAACTGACAAATGTTAAGACGAATCATTAAAAGACAATCAGTCAAAAATAATGTAT